TCTTGTCCCTTATTCTGCGTAAGCTTTCAACATCTTTGTTGTTGTTGATGTTTTTCGCAGTTATAAGTTGCAAATTTTTCGTTTAATTATTTGGTACTTTACAGCCAACAATTATGACGTTTACGCGTCTCTTGTTCTAAGCAAGAGCATATGATATAAATAAATATGTGATGAGCTCGGATATAGAGCTACACACTGCTAATGGTTAGCTACACATCATGACGGAGATTCTCTGCAGAAAATATAATGAACACCAAGAGACGAGCGAAAATTCAATGGAAAATTCAGTAACAGGAGAAAAAAAAACAGCGACAAATAATGAATACTTTTCGTCCTTCGAATATTTTTTTCTCTCGTCACGTTCATATAATGATAGCACCTCAGTGACGTTGTAATTGAAAAAGTTTTTAATGCATTCACATTTCAAGCATGTTGCTGTTTCATTGCATGCGAACTTTGTCAACCGAGAGAAGGAAAAAAAATACATACACACAGTACGGAAGTGGGAAGAGAGAAGGGGAAAAAAGAGCGCGCTTCATTTCGAAAGTCCATTTTTAGCTGTGATTAATTATTCAAATTGCATATTTGCATTAATCAAAGGCATTTAAAATGCAACCAGCTCATCCGAATCAATCATATATGCGCTGTGTACTTCGCTCTCTCTCTCTCTCTCTCGCATTCTTCCCCGCGCAACCATTTCATGTTCATTAGTTCAACTGGTAGTTACTTCATTCGGGATCGTGTATATTTGCTTATGCACCACATTTTTGCATCGCGATGTTTTATGCAATAAACCAATTAAAATAATTGTGTGCATTCATAATTTGGTACGAGACATTTTTAATTGCATTCATTTAAGTTCGGCATAGCCACACAAAAATCGATGGAGAGAAAAAAGCATGCGCACACGCACATTCGCATTTTATACCTATCATTTATTTGCGTATAATCGAAATTGAATAAAATTCAGTTCACAGCAACAAATGATCAATTTAATTCATCGTTTTTTTTTTCGTTTGATTATTATCATTGATACGCCTCGTATCGTTCGTATTTTGAGTCAAAATACTCTCTGTTTCGTTCTCAGTTGGTAGCAATGTACCATTTGTATGGTATTTTTAGTTCCAAATGTGATTCTCCAGTAATTTGCAAGCTCTTACTCCCTCTCTTGCTCTTATGCTATCTCTATCTCTCTCTTTGTTTGCTCTTTCTCTCGCCCTGACAACTCGAGCATTTCATTTGTTGCATAATTAACGAAACTCGTTGAGGCCGACCTGCTCAAACAAGACATATCTCTGCACATCGCTTATTCACACATTTGACAGTGTCATTTGTGACACAATTACTCAATCTCGTAACATTATTCGTTTACCTCACCATATCTCTATCAGTCTGTCTCTATCCCAATCTGAACCCGTTCACATGCATTGTCAAATGAATAATTCGATTCAAATTTAACTAACGAATTAAATGTCGAACAACAATTTGGTCAACAACAATTTCGTAAATGTAATTTTGGGCTGCGAGTCGAAAGGAGCCGATTAAAAGCATAGTTCTTTTCCGGTACATAGCACACACACAGAGAGAGAGAGTGAGAGAGAGAGAGAGAGAGAGAGAGAGAGAGAGAGCGATGGGATCTTTATGCGGCCTCCCCCAAAATTAATATGTAAATGCAATTATTTTGTGTACTGACCAAATACGTGATTAAGCAAATGAAATTTAATTACGTATGTATGCATTAACCGGTAATTTGGAAAAAATTGTTTTATTTTCCATTCTGTGTGTGTGTGTGCGTTGAAGCTAAAATGCAGATTAACTAGTGTCACAATGTAAATTATCAATGTTAAAACATTGTATGCAAATAAAGAACGCTCTTTTTTTCCCCAAAAAATGGCTGCCACCATGTGAGCGGTGTCATGATGTGCATCAGTTAGTCAGTACATTAAATTGTTCACCTTCTAGTGCCATCCAGGCACAACACATTTCGACATTGGAATAAATCAACCGGCAGTGCTTCAATGAATTTTCAGCAATTTATTTATAATTCCGTTTTAACGGTCATAAAACAAATTTAGCTCTAAAGTAACACATAACTGCTATCAGCTGGAAAGAGTGAGTGAAATGACAACGGTTCGGAATGGAAAAGACGATGAAACTGCAAATTAAAATTTAGTGCTGTACATTTTAGTTGATTTTATGTAATTCCCCCGACCCGAACAATTTTCCCAACATTTAATGAAAATAATGTATTGCAAAGTTGAATATATTTTATTATTTAAACGTGAATAACGTTGTACGTGCATGACACTCGTCTGTAACTTCATTTTTGATGCTCGACTTTCTCTCGTTAGCCGTATAATTTTTTGTGTGTCTCTCTGGCACTAGGATTTGCAGTGAAATGCTGAGGATCATCTCGAACTGGAAACAACTCAACTCTCAACTGTCTGAGTTATTAAAAATAAAGTATGGCACAACTATCTCACAGTCACTCAGCTTTCGTCAAAATTCTTTATCAAGCAACGAACAGATGCGAACTCTGCTGACTCACTCTCATACACACAATGAGAGAGAGAATGTTATTTAAAAAAATTTCGTTTCCGCACAAACATTTTTATGTCATCATTCACCAACGAGAGAGAGAAAGAGAGTTCATACAGCCACAAATATGCCGAAACTATTAAGAACTTCATTCATTATGACGTTGTTGTTGGTAATTTGTCAGCGCAACAACAAATCATTTGACATTTATGCTGTAATTTGTCGTCAACTCTCTCTGTGTCTCACTCTCTCATTGCAAATGAAATTGCACCCGAGCCGGAGTGAATTTTCACATCATTTTACCAAATGGGATTTCATCCTCTTGAAATTGAATGATTCTATTTTATTAAATGAGGTCAACCATTTCGCATACAGGAACGAAAAGAAAGACCAACAACAACGAAACCGCAGACAAATTCACTCAAACAATTTATTTCGGAACATCAGTTTAGGATTGAGAATTCGTTGAAATATCGTATATATGTGGGTTTAGTGGGAATAGCAAAACAACGTGAGCGAGAATTTGAAGTTTAGGAGCGTTGATAGAAAATTCATTTAAAGTAAATTGTATTAGCTCAGTGTGTCCAAGTAATTCGATTGTAGAAGCCGAAGATTTTCAGCGAAGAACATTTTTGCGATTCGAAGTGAATGTGAACAGAAAAAATTCCATGTTCTGGCATTTCTTCAAACACTTTTCTGACAAATAATCATATTAAATGCTCCAAAATCGGCCCATTTCGGTGACTTTCGAAAGTTTCGGCTAATGAATATTGGCCTCTGGGCCGTAATCATCAATCGCATAACACCACTTGACCGTAGCTTTGTTAATAACAAACGGGAAAAAATGGCGCCCAATTCCTTAAAAACACATTACATCGTAATAATTATGTGAAAATGGACTGTTCCGAAACTCTGTTGGCGGTGACCATTATGCCATCGCGTCTGATACTAACGAACAAACGCAAAAGTGATTATTTGCGTTTTATTCGATGCTCGGACGATGTTAGTCCAAGACCACTGGGGTCTGGTATTTTTCAATCTAAATAAATTGATCATTGACGATGACTTTTTCGTGTGTATTCAGCACAGGGCTTGAGAGAAGAAATTTTTATTTCACGCACTAATGGAGCTGATAACAGAAAATGTGTACGCAAGGACCAAGAGAAGGAGAGGAAGAGAGAGAGGGAGTGAGAGAAAACCACTTCGATAAATGTGAGCAGACAGTCTTAAGCGAAAATGTTGACATCAATAATTGGGATTTGCAGTGTTCTCAACCATGCAAAACTCTATGTCTCTTTTTCACTGTGTGCATTGGCGTTTTTCGCTCTCAATTTTCAAGTGAAAATCGATTGGATATGTTCTATACCGAATTTCCGATAACCAAGTAACATTTTATGGCCAGTGTCTGCATTCTCACATGGGTAAAGTTTTCGTTTCGAAGCAAATTAATGGCGATTTCTTTTTGTGGGCAAAAACATAAACCGATTGGCTTCATTTGAGATAGAGTAGCGATGGAAAATGAAAGATGAAGCGGTAGGGGGAAACGTTGAGAATACGGTTTGAATACTGACGAGAGGCGAAATGTTATCGAGAACATCAGAATAAACGTAAATCTCATTATCAGATTTTTGTGTTGAGGTCAGCAGTGCTATCAGGTTAATAGCTAACGAAAAACTCTCGACGAGAAACGAACAGATCGATTTTCTCCGGCGATATTTAATGTGAATGTGCTTGTTGTTCGTAATGCCGTACATTTCGAGAAAAAAGATTGATTGTAATAGGATGACACTGTGGATTTGTTTGATGGTAACCAAAGACACAGAGTCGTCGTTGCTTCAATTTATTATTAGCAGGTATTCTTTTTTAGAGAGATAGTGACAGCAGAGGAAGAATGAGAGAGAGGGAGAAAGAGAGAATGAGAGAAAAAAAGGCGTTTATCTTTATTGGATGCGCTTGTTGGTTTAGCCTCTCCATTTCGACTTCGTTAGATGCCAATACGCCTGACACGCAAATCAATTAATTTATTTGCGGTTGTACAAACGTATGCATGAGATGTATCTCTCTGTCTCACTCTCACATGCATAAATGCATGAATCGTTTTGTATCCGAAGCAGCCGATAATGAAAGAGTCAGGTATTTGCCAATAACTTGTGCTTGTGGTTTGCATAATCCACCAGCAACCTCTACTCTTCTCTCACAGACTTTTTCTCTCCCATTTTCCTTTAACTTCCCATTAACGTTTTGCTCGATTCGATTTAGTTTGATTGGATTCTCTCGTTGACATGGCGTAAATTCGTTTTGCAATTAACCGTAGCACTTCATTTATGTCGATGTTTTGTATAAAAACGCCATTTATATCAAATCGAATCGATACGACGTTCAAGATAACATTGACTAATTGCATTAACAGAAGCAGCTACAGTAAAACAGCAACACTATTTTTTTTTCATCCGAAAACTTACTTGCGTATATGAATATCAGAAAGTTGGTTGGATTCATCAATTCAGTGAATGTCACCATTTAGGCCAACGCTCATGTTCTTTCAGCTTTGCTTACCTGTAAATAGAAGTAAATATATTCAATTAATTTCGATTGAAAGGTTTATTCAGAAATGATAGAGAGAAAAAACAGGGATGAAATTTACATTCTGTTCAGGCGTTCAACGAAGTAAAATTACCCACATAAAAGAGACTATACATTTTCATGCTGTTCAAGTGTTCCATTTATAAAAAAAGCTTCATTTATCTATCATCTTTGACGTCCATTTTTTTCCCTACCTTTTACCGTTCGCTTTCATGCATTTAAATTGCGATGATTAGCAGCGGTGAATGAAATTGCTCATAAAAATATCCGCTGATAATTTGTCATTCCACGCAAAATTGTTATTTTGTCACGAAATCAAAAGGCAAACACAAAAACTGTTATTTTTCCATCAACGCTGGAAAAACTCATAAAAATTCAAACGAATGACCATAAACCATTTTAAATAAAATTATAAATGCAGCAACTGCAGTGAGTGCACAATTGGGAGAGAGCGAAAAAAATGGTGCACACACACACACCGCTGAGATTAAAACAAAAATGTGGATTGGTAATTTATCGGCCACATATGGCGAGGCAACGTATTTTTTTTTTTGTTGCTGCTCATTTTGTTGGTTTGTTTTAAATCAATATACTATACCACAATATTGGTTCATTTAAACCCGGTTTTCCCCCAATTTATTTCCAATATTTCAACTGCCAGCTTTTTTCTCTCTCTCTCACTCTTAACACAAACAAACCAGATAACTGCATTTTATTTCATATCCGGCATTTTCGTTACATCTAAATTGGGTGCTTTCAATGGAATGAATTCAGATTTTCTTACACTGCTGCTGTTGCTGCTGAAAAAAAAAACGTGAATGGTTCTCGTGAAAAGCAATTAACGCCGCATATGAATCCAGCGAAATGATAAATATTTGCATGATTTCCGATGATTTGACTGCAATTGCTTCAAATTTGGTGTCCCTTTTTTTCTATCTACCTCTCTTCCTTTTCATCTCGTTTCAAATATCTCCATCTCTTCCTCTCTTTCCTCCCATGCAATCGGACAGTAGAATAATGAACATAAATTACATTAGGTGAACAATATTTTGCACCAGTTTTTTTTTTCGATGGTGGAGCAAAAAATTGCGAATGAAAAATGTTTTATTCAGGCTTTGATATTCAACTCCAATTTAATTGAGGTTTTCGTTGCATAACAATGTAATTTTCTTTTCACTCACTGAAACTCAATAAAGCAACATTGTTTTTTTCTCAATTCCATTCGATTGCGCTCGCGTTGTTTTTTTTCAACGCCAATTTAATTAAATTTACGTTTAAAACAAGTTAAAAGAAATGATGACCACGAAAATACAAGGTTTTTTTTTCAATTCTGCAGAGATTTTTTATTGGACATTTGAAACGAAATTGAAATTCGTTTCGATTGATTGCAGATGCGGAGGAAAAGACAAAGCCAAAGCCAAACTCATGATTGGAATTGGAAATTGTAGGTCGAAAAGGCAAATGATTAGGTGCACTGGAGTATTTCATGTGGGATTTTTTTTTCATTAGGTAAAAATTCTACTGTGGGATATACTTTTCGTTACGGTTTTATTAGATTGAAGTGATTTTCTTTTCATGAAACAAAAAAAAAACGAATTTCCGTTAGCAAAACGAAAAAAGATGCGGAAATTGAACTCGATCATGGAAAAAAAAAGTCAGCACAAAGCGAAAAGTATCGATTCAAGGAGTGTACGGATTATTGTTTATTAAGTTCCTTTTTCATTTCAGCTGCTTTCGTTTGTGTTTGTATGATTGGTCAAAAAAAGGGGCATTTCAAATTACAGTTGTGTGCGGTTGCAATAAACTACAAACGCGTTGGAATGAAGCACATATACTCTTCAAAGTTGCAGTTTTTCCATTGTTGTTTGTTCGGAACTTCGCAAGAATGTGTCCAGTACAAAGTATGTGCGCATCGCGTTCAACTGACACATTTTCCAGCGTTTAAATTATTTGGTGAAGTGTACGAAATTACATTTTTTTTTTCAAATGCGAATGGAAAATAACTACATCTTAATTATTTATGGTGCAACTGTGCTGCATTGCAAATTTCAAAGTGAAATTCGACGCTTCGCAAAAAAAATTCTCTGTTTTTTTCATCCTTCACAAAGGAAAAAAAAACCATGAAACATTTGTATCACGTTCGTCGTTTTTTTCCCGACCATGTTTTGTTCTGTTTTCCCACTATTTTCAGACAGTTGTTGTTTTTATCAAACGTTATTTTGATATGGAGTCAAGTGAATTTTTATGCCGCTTCGGTTCGGTTTGTTTTGTGTGTCGGGTAGTTCGTTGATTATGTGCGGCACATGAAGATGGTAATGTCAGTGAAATTACAATGGATTTCATAACAATAGCAGGCTTATGATATGATTCAGTTAGAAAACTATAGAGTAGAATAGACAATGGATTGTGTCGACATTCTGTTCGATTTTACATTGCGCCAAAGCTCGAATAACAACAACAACAGAAAACCGTTGAAAGCATCAAGTCAACTTCAATCAATATTAGCAATTGATTCATTGTGAGAGTATAGAAACGAGACAGAGAACAAAAGGGGTGAAAAGGGAAAGAGATGTGGGCATAGAGGCAAGGAAAGTTGAAGAGAGAAAGATAGAGAAGGAAGAAACACATAGAGACATAGATACAGAAAAAAAGAGACACCGAGAAAAACAGTAAAGAAGAGGTTTCGTTGCGGATCCATTTCGTCGAGCAGTGCACAGTGTACCGTTGTGAAAACTGTCATAAAAATGCGAACGACGTATATTTAATGCGAAAAAAGCGAAATCTTATCGTTTGATTATGGACTGAAATTTTGCCCGATTAGCGTTGAATCATCCATCGGCAACGGCATTGTGTGTGTACGCTTCAGAATTATGTTCCGTTGAGAGAGCGAGAGAGCGGAGTGTGTATGTTCGACACCGGCTTAGTCATCTTCTTTAAATTGAATTTCATTTTGATCGGAGTGTATTTTTTTTCAGCCTTTTGGCCATTTTTGCCGTCATCTCGTTACATCGCAAATGGTACGTAAGATGCTATCACTACACTCTTGAAGCATATTTTTTTTCAATTTCAACCATGTATAAAATCGATATGTATATCGATAGCGTGATCTCTGATTAGAATCACAGAGCTAACGCACTTGTTGTTTTTGCTTTGCTTCGGCACGTTCACTCGTCTCATTCCGTTCCATTTCAATTTGCTGTCTTCGTCAGTTTTTATGAGCGAATCGAATAAACGAACGAACGAACGAAAGAGATGCTATCAGTTTGTAGTCAATATGAAATCTGTGCGTTGAAAAAAAGTCAATTCGACAACGAAGAACCTACGCTACGGAAGATGGAAGTAGCATGGATTTCGTTAACAAGTACATCGTCATGGTTTAAATGAAAATCTGCGTATTTTCTTGATTCGGTTTCGGGTTTTCTTTTTCATATAATAATTTGTTGTTTATAGCGCAGTGTCTTTGATACATTTTTCTATAAATCGCAGTTGCAACCATTTCAAGTAATTGTATCTCTGTTTGTACACTAAATTGAAAGTCTGTGTTTGTGAAATGTCGATGTACTTTGTTAAGGGGGCTTTCGGTTGATGCTCCTTAATCTACTCATGTTGGATTTACTCTGTGTGTGTGTTTGTCTCTTTTTGCGGCACGCAACAGCCGGGATATAACCACACTGCTACCGGTTTTTTATATTGCTTACGATTTTTATTGGAAGAAGAAAATCGTGGATTTGAAACGAAAATTCGATCTGTATTATTTGTTTGTTGTTGTCGTCGTCGTATGATCCAGAATGGTTGAGTAGGGGAGACAAAAAGGCAATTCTCGGCAATCTAATCAACGTTTTGTTGATGGTATTTCGATCACATTGATTGTCTCGTTTCGGTGATTTTTCAAGCGCAGTCTTTTCAAATGGCCATTTCCTTGCTGTTTGTTCGGTTTGGCTTTGCTTTGCTTTGCTTTGCATTGCCTTGCTATGTCAACAGTCCGATTCTCACAATCTCTGTCGACATTCACATCTCACCATTTAAGTCACTAACACGCGCGCATCCATATTTTTGACGACTTATCATAACGACCATTCACAAAATATTGTTCGGATCCATTTTTATTGTTATTGCTCTCAATAATTCTTATGGTAGTTTTTTTTGTTCGCTCCGTTGCTTGCCAAACGCGATGTTCAATAGATTTTTTTTTCTTTCCTTAGTTTATATTCATTTTCGTCGATTGATTATGACTGTTGATGGTTCCATATTCCTTGTCGTCATAGTTTGGAAATTTGCATTATATCCGTATAAACCATTAATGGTGCATGAGAATGAATCGGAAAGATCAACGAAAATGTTCTAACATTTGTAACATTTTATGGAACAACCCCAAAATCGAAAGGCATTTGCAAAACTACGGCCGAATTTGGCAAAAAAAGAAGAAGAAGGAAATGATGAGGAAGAAAATGAAGAAGAAGAGGAATAAGAGGAAGGAGTAGAAGAGGAAAAATTTTCGAGTAGCGAATCACTTGAAAAATGCTAACAGTGGCGAAGATTTAGGTGGGATTGAAGTCGGTGAGTTTCAAGGAAGCAAAATCAAATATACGAATGTTGAATGTTTATCCGTAAATCTAGGACTAAGTCACACAATTGATGCTAGTTTTTATGCGGCTCCGAATGAATTGCCCTCTTGGTTGTGTTACACGCGCACAATCAAACAACATCACATTCAGCCGAACGATTTCAAATAGATATTAACTTCCGAATTGGCTTTCTACACATTGGAATTCTCTAGCCAATCCATTTATCTTATTGTATCTTAAGCCATTTATTTTCAGATGTTTATAGAATGCCACTGTAGCCATTGTTTTCCGATGCTTTTGCGCGGCATTTCTCCAAAAGGTCATCCGCAACAAATTCACGCGAAGAGAATCAAGTGATTTTTCTTGGAAAAAAAATCGATCAACTCACAAAAAAAAAAACCACAACCGAAACAATCGAAGGATTGATTGTGAGGAATTTGTTCTTACATATCAAATTGCTCGTAATGATGTGTTTGTGTGTATTATCTTCTGACCTTTACGCAATGAATCCAAATCAGCATTCCGGCTGAATGACCGGTACAAAAAAAAACCCATCACATTTGATTAAGCAAAAGCAATCGTGAATTTGCTTCGATCCAGGCCAAGCAATAAATTTTCAATCGTTTCTTTTCTCCATCGCTAGTCTATCATAAACATAAACTTGCAATTAAATCGTCTTGTTATTTATAGTGGCCGCAAGCATGATTTGATTCGGAACAGAAATTAAGTAGTGATAATAAAGTAGCTCGTGGCATAAATTACGTAAGTATATTTTGACTTACATGAGCTGTTGTTGTTTTTATTTTTCTGCCAGGATATTGCAATGGTATCAAATTTGGCCGAGAAAAAAATATGCTTAAAATTGGAATTTTACGAATCGAATGTACGTGGGAACACACCACATTTATGAAAAAAAAACACACACACATCACATGCAATGTGGGTGACGTATTTCCAAGTAGCTGATAAGATTCGTTCCTAGAATAACGAATGTGGAATGTATAATTCAAGAAAAATGTGCTATTACAACACAAAACAAACTGATATGGAATAAAATACAACGAAACCGTTGAATATTAATGCACAGATTAAAAATTTCGCTTGATGACGAATGTCAGTCTCTGCATCGCGTGAGACATGACCGCAGAAAAAAAAACAAAATAACTTATGATAAGGAAATGTGTCTTATAACGTCTGTTCACATTTCCGTTTTTAAAGCGATAAAATCGTCTGTGGCTAGGCGTCAAACACTTTCGTTCAGTTTGAATCGTAGAATCACCAGATTAGGTCGATGTGCTGGTTTCTCTAAGTCTTGAATATTCCTCAGTAACTTTAAACAAACTCTAGTTAGTTGTAATGGCTGGAATTAGGAAAGATTTTCGGTCCAACCGTTTGGCTATATTCATAATTTGTTCAATATTTTTCCAATTCGGTCATTCTACCGACGAATCAGAGGTTTGAGTTCAGAATTATTGATTGAGATTGGAATTTTTTACACATTTTTATTCACAGAAAAATACTGATGGCCAATGTATATGGTATGGCGTTTGTAGAAATTATGAGGATAGAGGTATGGTGTATTATACTTTGATTCCGTAATTTGATTTGTTTTTCAACTTTTTTTGCTCATTTGAAGTCTCTTTAATACATTACAATTTCCAGGCGTGGACAAGAGCCAGTATTGCAGTTACAATGGAACAGCCAAACTGTTGAGCGAGGAGGGACGTCAGAATTTAATGACGTACTGTTCGTATTTAGATCAAGGAGAAAACAACACATTCACATGCTGTGATAGTGAACAGGTATGATGCATTAGACATTTTTGGCATTTTTGCTTACTTTTTGCACACTATGCACTTGAACAAAGCAAGTTGACTCCTTAATTTTAGTAAAAAATTTCAAATTGCTCACATACATGGTTAGATCGAAATAATGAATGACAATATAGAAAGAGCGGAATTCATTCTCAGCGATTGTCCGGCGTGTTTCCATAACTTCGTGCAGCCGATATGTGCCATGACATGTAGTCCAAAGCAATCGCAATTTTTGAAGGTTAATCAACTGGACGATAAAGAATCGGGTAAGTTTAACATAGGATATTCATTGAACATTGTTCAATATAGAAGGAGAACACATTAGTCTCTTGTCATTAGCGTTGATAGTGAATTGTGTACAATTCACAAGGAATATATCCTTCATCAATGTGTTGAATTAATTTAAGAATGAATCTTTTCATTTTTACTGCACTTGAAGAATATGGGCCGTATGTAACAAGCATCGATTATGCGATAAACCACCAATATATCGATGCCACATTCCAGTCATGCAAAGAGGTGATTTGTTTTTTTTTTAAATGGTGTGATACTTGACTGAAATGAGTTGTTTTTGCATGTTCTAGGTTAAATTTCTATTGATCATGAAATCGGTGAATATGATGTGTGGCGGTGCGAAGGATGCTGACTGTACGTCACATAAATGGTACAATTTCATGGGTAACTATGCAATCAACAAATACGTACCATTCCAAACCAACTACATCACAGATCCCCTCAATGGTTATACCTCATTCAATCGATCCACCGTACCTTGTTATAAAGCAGTCAATGTAAGTTTGAATTTCTCCATGAAATCGATCCCAATGGGTTATTTCTTCTAATATTCCGTATGTTTTAATTATTCTAATTAAAATCTCAGGAATCGAAAGGAAAATGTTCATGCTCTGATTGCAGTGGATCTTGTGCCCCGAATTGAATACGACGGTGGACGGCAGTTTCTCTAATTTCTCTATTTCTAGTACTTTATATACAAAGAATATACTTCAATTGAATGTTGTTTGCTCAGTTTTTAGCCATTTTCTTGAACAAGTTCAATTGATGGAACGAATTTTGTGTGCAACTTGTGTTTTGAAATAGTTTTAATAGAAAATTGTTAACAGGAAATCGTGTTCAATTATGCAGAAAAACTTGATGCAAAATAAAGACGTTCACATGTATATTCCGTGTGCGCAAATGAAGGACTCTCTATCTCTTTCTTTCTCTCTTTCTCCCTCTCTCTCTCGCCATTCAATCCGAACTTTGTTTTAAGTGTATGCATATTTCGAAACTTTTTGATGGAAGTTTCTGAAGAAATGCTCTGTTTCAGTATAACGAAAAATTGAGATGTTTCATTCCGAAAAATGTACGAGATAAACAAACAAGCGAGTCAGTTCAAGTTGAGTAAAAGTATGTTGTAAATAAATAAAACCCTTTATTTTAATGGTAATTTGTGTATATTTCCTTGTAACATCCCAATTGCTGTTGCTGCATGCGCAGATAAAAAGGACGACCGGGAATGTTTGTGAAAACGACTGACGATACTAGCACAATGATAGCTAAAGGGTGTAATTTTGCGCTTAAATACACACATAATGCGCGCAATATGTGTGATATCTAAATAAACCAAAACTACTTATTACACTTGGTGCCAGCGCATGCGTGTGTGCGTATATGTATCTGTCTGAATATTAAAAGATAAAACTAAACGAACAACAAACACATCTCGAAATGGAGCCCTCGAGCGGTGCAAAGCAATTTTTAAATTAATTCGCATTCTCATCGGTTGGTTGCTATCATATGCCAAGACATCATTGAGTACGATGGAAATTTATTCAAATTTGGTGCTTATGAAAAACGATCCATAACGCTGATAGAAATGTACCAGCACATGCCATACTGCCACATTGGCCCAGTAAAGATTTTCGACCGAAAAAAATCGATGCGGATCAAGTTTCCGAAAAGGAATTGTTTATCGAACAACGCTGAGTCTTCAAGTGAGTTAAAAAGAGAGACATAGAGAAGAAAGAAGGAGTGATGTGCTCTCTTCTATATCCCAAAAACTCTGACCATAATATTCATATGCGATGAGATTTTGATGTGGATTATGGCACTTGCTCAATGTATTCAATCTTAAAAAGTAAACAAAAACTAATTCGATCAAAGTTTCTGGTTTTGCCATCGTCGATAACTTTTGCTGGCCCCGAGGAAATTGTCAACAATCTGAATAAAGTTGCGAAAACCAATCGATGTATCGAAGTCACATACATGCACGCGTTCCGTTATATATTCATCGAAAATTTTACTTGAATCTAACTTGAGATTTTCCTCGTTCGCTTGTGATAAAACTAATTTTCGAACAGAAATCACTTTTACTTGTTTCATCTAGTCATTTCCGTTTCCTTCACATCTTTCAATTGATACACAAGTTGTCGGTCAAAAACAGAGCACATTTGTTGTGCGTCCTACAAACATTTTGATTGTTGGTCAGAGGAACGGAGCATATAGCGCAAAAAATGCGCACTCTTTATACTTACAAAAGGTACACAGTAAACCGAATTACGGACGAACAATTCAATTTCCGGTTTTAGATTTTGACTTTTATCGTGAAATGGTATTACCGGAAATACCTTGAATACCTATTATACAACCTTGTTTGGAACGAATTTATCGTTGAATGTTTTTTTTTTCATATTTTCGGCAGGTAAAAATGAGAAAATGTTGATTTTGTTGTTTGATAAAATGAGAGCATTAGTTTATTTGTAAATTGAAGAGAAAGGCAAACTGAGCACGAGAGATTTAATGGGAAAAATGCCAAATTCACAAAGCGTACTTCGGTGTTTCCAATGGAGACTCTCCATGGAATTAGGCGTGTGCTACAAATAAGATTTTTTAAAGCCGGAACAATTTGTAAAAATACTGAAAACAGCCGAGCTAGTTTGAATACGGTCGTAATCATCATAACGTTATTCATTTCAAAAACACGCTGTTCAAAGAAAAAAAAAACATTGACTCATGTAATGCAAACATGCTGCATATTACTTTGAGATGCTCTCAACATACACAGCTTTACGATATTTAACGTCAAAAGATCGATCCATTTCTCTCTCTCTCATGGTCCAATTCTCATGTTGAGCTTCCGTTACTTGCAATCTAACACACATCACATGTATCGCTTGTAATGCTCGTCAAGCATTGCTCGCTTGCTTGCTCGCTCGTATATTTCGCGTTTTTTTACTCTCTACTCGCTATGATCGTTCGCTCGCTCTCTGTTCGTTCGTAATTTTTTTTTCTGTTTCTATGTAATACACCCTTTTCGTCTAACACTTTGTTTCAAGGCTTTGGTTGTCGATGTCGTTTACCATTTTTTCTGCCATGTTTTCTCTCTCTTTCTTTCTCTTATCATCCATCGTATCGCATTACGTATCGTTTGCTGTGACAGTTAACGTGTATTAGCCATGTATTGGATTGAATGTGCTTTTTTAGGCGCATTCTCTACTGTTTACTGTTACATATTTTGTCGTCTAAATACACATGAACGCATGACACATCATCTCTCCATCGCACCATAAATAATATTTTCCTCGTTTTACCAAACAGCTCATGCGAACACACAGAGAAAAATAGAAACAAAAATATAGTGAATGTGATGCTATTTGAAACATTTTCTGAAACATTTTCTGACACATTTTCACTGAGAACTAGCATCATACGAGGCAAAAAATCATTTCACTATCAGAAAAAAAAAACTGGAATTGCTCATAATGTTACGTTATCGCAATCACTTTCAGCATGAACATTGAACAAACGAAGAAAAAAATGGAATGAATCTTCTTTTTTTTCGTCTTAAATACGTGGGTGGCTCATGCGAAATCGGTTTGGTGCTTGCATCTGACATGAATCAAATGCTGTATACAGGAGCATTGACGGAATTCATGGAAAATCATTGCGAAAATTTAAGCACGTACTTCATTGAAATGTGGAAAAAATAGCGATACACAAAAATATGAACAAATTTATTTGGCCAATTCAAGTCGAGTTAATTGAAATGTCGCTCCAGAAATTCACACTCATTTAGTATTAAAATGTAAGTATTATTTAACGTCTTAATAAACTTTTCAGATAATTGAAAAGTTTAAGCTCAAACTTTGAATCACCCGTTTACTGTCAAATTTTGAACAATTGTAGAGCGCCGTAGATTTCGTACGGCAAAATTCAGTACTACTTGGTGTGATTTTGTGGTATTCCACAATATGTCGAAATCACTTCAGCTCAATCACACCAATTAGTACTGAATTTTGTCGCATGAAATCCACGGCGCCTCACAATTTCACACTTCGTATTCTGTATACAATAAATGCGAGATTATAAGCGTGTGCTTTGAATGTTGACTGGAATTTCGATGATTACATTTTGATTTTGGCTGTTCATTGCTTCAACAGATGAATCACGATTAAAAACCTACAGAATTATTTGCAGTGCCAAACATAGGTTTGATGTTGAATTCCATTGAATTATGTTATCATCAACAATTGCGTCAGCATTTCTTTTATGCTGATAATAACAATAAAATTTCGATACACAAGCAAGTAAGAGTCAGTCGGTGGCTTTCTTCTGAATAAGTCGATGTAAATAATTGACTGTGGTGTCGTTCGAAGTGATGGAATGAAATATTTAAATTGGAAATTTACAATATAAAAAAATGCATCCAAAAATCAAGCGTATGTGCATGTGAATAAGAATGTTTGAAGCCAATCGCTCGATTCAGCGCCAATGGCGTTACCAGTGCCATACTCTAAATTTCAAATCAATATGTCTATCGATAATATTTCTAGTGTTGTTTGCTCAAAGCTTGTCGGCAGAGGTTCGTACGAAAAATCATTAGAAGAATGTTATTTTCATTTTTTTTTTTTTAGAAAAGAGTATCTTTCATTGAATAATTGATGCATTTATGATTATATTTCATAGACTGGGCGATGTGTGTGGTATGGAGTTTCCAATAAAACGGCAGATAGTATGTCCATTTTGGAAAATGTTTTTTATTTGCGTACCAAGTTGTGATCGATTCATCAGCATTGCATTTTCAATGATTCAACGTGAATTCAATGCCAACAAAAGCATTCGAGATCACAAATTTCTAAAGAGATGATTCCATCTTAAAGCCAAATTCAATCATTTGATCATTTGATCATTTAGATGGTGAAAATTTGTGATTTCGGCTGTTTCAACATAGTATCTATGTAGCTGATTATTGAACGACCATAATTTTTTCCATTCAAAACCATTTTATAACTGATTTAATTTAAACGTTTCAGAACTAAGTTCATATAACGAATTCAAAACAAATTATACCTGTCAACGTGATATCGAACCACAGCCACTGGATGACACTGCACTCGGATTGTTGCAAAAATATTGTTGGGATTTGAATTTGGGAGAGGATAATGCAGCTTGTTGCGATATCAATCAGGTATACAATTTGGAGTTTTTTGTTTGAAATGAAAATCATTAAAAATCCATATTCATTCAACTGTAGATTATTGCGATGAACTTCAATCTAAAAACTGCATATATGATAATGAAAAGATGTCCGTCGTGTTTTTACAATTTTGCAAAATCAATATGCGCCATGACGTGCAGCCCAAAACAATCCGCTTTTTTGAAAATTATTCATACAAATCATGAGGAATCCAGTAAGTGAATTGAAATTTTATTGAACGGCATTGTGTATTTGGATGACTGACATTTTTGCAAAATATTGTTATTAACTGTATTGTGAGCGAATACGCAAAAATATCATCCGGACTTCATTCGAATGACTAATTGAGTTATATTCAAATTGTTCGGATTTTCTGTTGATTTTTATCGTTTAGACTGTCCATATGTCGACAATCTGACATTTTTCATGGCTGAGGAATACATGAATGACACATATAAATCTTGTGAAAAGGTAATTTACACTTGAGTGTTGTCTGATGAAAATGAAATGGAATTGAGTTTAATTGGTAGATTGTCCAAATTTCAGGTTGGAGGAGGTTCTGTAATAAGCTCATTATGTATGGGTGAAGACAGATGTGATCCAAGAACCTTGTACACAGGTATTGGCGATGTAGCAGAAAATCCAGAATATGTACCATTCCAAATAACTTATAAAACAGAGCCCATGGACAATTACACTTTATTTAATGAAACCACTATTCCCTGTTACAAAGCAGTGAATGTAAGTTTACTTCTTCTGTGATTCAGTTCAATCGAACTAGTATAAGAAATTGACATTGAACACAGTAAACACGATGGTTCTAACTTTTAGAACCGCAATATGAAATTTGGCACTAAAATCCATTTGAGTACCATTTGTACTAGATAAAGTTCCAAATGTACTAAATCAAAAATCAAAGCTTCATGTATTTATTATAGAACTTTTGAACTTTTTCTAGAGCAAATGGTACTAAAACAAAGTTAAGTGTCAGATCTCAACATTGCTAGAATCATTGTGTTAACTGTGAATATTATATATTTCAGAAAACCACTAAAATTTGCCCGCATATTGAGTGTGAACATTGTAGTAGAAGGCCACCACCACCACCAAATCCATCATCATCGGACTCATTCAAAATACTCGGTTTCGATGGGTACACATTCTGTTCAGTTCTAGTATTTTGCATCGTGACAATTCTATTTCTTATCGGAGTCTTCTTACCGTTTCCGTGTAAAATTAGAATTTGTCAATTTAGGAAAAATTATTTTGAACAATTTGGCGAATATTCCGAAAATTTCTTCGAGCATCGCTTCACCGCTTTGGGATCCTTTTGTGCACGTCATCCGCTGATTGTTCTTCTGTTCGGTAACTAACAAACTTATTAGGAATTTTCACAATAATCTAATTGTCAAATGTCGACAGTAATAAGTGAATAAGAAGAAATGCCTAGAGAAATGCCGTAATAATGTTCGAAATAGGTCTCCTTCTTGTAATTGCAACGGGATGTGGAATCAATCCGAGTAACATGACAACCGATCCGGTTGAATTATGGGCCGCTCCGCAGTCAAGATCACGTATGGAAAAAGATGTTTTCGACTTACACTTTGGCCCATTCTATCGAATCGAACAGATTATAATCGAATCCAAGTTCAACGGTCCCAATCATTTAACCGATGAGGGTGAAAATATTGCATTTGGTCCAGCTTTCAATGAAACATTTTTACTAGATGTGCTGAAGTTGCAAAAAGGAATTGAAAGTATGTCTGATTTCTATTCATATTCAGAAGAAGGCAAAGAAATTAATCTCCATCCAAATGAAAATAGGTTTAAAAACTGACAACAATTACACGCTGGATCAGATTTGTTATGCACCACTGAGCACTTCGAGCCCAATCGATCAAAAATACTGTGTTGTTCAATCCGTTTGGAAATACTTTTCGGATGACGTCAATAAATTTAATATGGATACTTTGAAGGAATGCATCGATAACCAATACAAGTGCATGTTTGATTCAGTTGGACCGGCCGATCCGAATGTATTGTTTGGAGGTTTCCCAACAGACGGTGCAGCATCAGAAAGAGAGAGCAAAACGATTTTCTACAAATCTTCCGCTGTTATTTTAACATTTCTACTGAATAATTATCAGAAAGGTGAAAAAAGGTTGGACTCGGCCAGAGAATGGGAGGAACTCTATGTGAAGTATATAAAAAACTGGATAAATCTCAACAAATCGGAATACATAGACATTGCATTCATATCGGAACGATCGATTCAAGATGAAATTGAGCGTACATCTCACTCAGACATTTACACAATCGTCGTATCATATTTGGTAATGTTTTTATACATCACAATATCATTGGGTCGAATCGATTTGAGGCGCTATCATCGCATATTCGTTGATAGTAAAATTACATTGGGCATTGGTGGCATTGCAATTGTCTTATCTTCGGTTGTAGTATCGGTGGGTATTTTTGGCTACATTGGTGTTCAAACCACACTGATTATTGTCGAAGTGATTCCATTTCTGGTGCTCGCCGTTGGTGTCGACAACATATTCATCCTAGTTCAAACGCATCAACGTGAACCTAAAGAACCGAACGAAACGCACGCCAATCATATCGGTCGAGTTTTGGGAAAAGTCGGTCCTTCAATGCTGTTAACATCAATAAGCGAGAGTTGCTGCTTCTTCCTTGGTGCTCTATCTGATATGCCTGCGGTTAGGGCTTTTGCTTTATATGCCGGATTGGCATTGATCGTCGATTTCATACTGCAAATAACGTGTTTTGTAAGTCTTCTATCACTGGATGCACAACGTCAAGCCGCAAATCGTTTCGATTTATTCTGTTTTATTAAAACAAAAGGCAAGGAGGAAGACGACGATCAACCGACCGAAGGAACTCTTTATGAGTTTTTTAAACTAATTTATGTGCCTGTCTTGATGCATAAATTCGTACGAGTTATCGTCGTAATTTTGTTTGTTGGATGGTTTTGTACAAGTCTCAGCTTAGCACCAAACATAGAAATCGGGCTCGATCAAAAACTTGCGATGCCAGAAGATAGTTTCGTGTTGAAATATTTTCAATTTTTCGAACGATTTCCGAATGTAGGACCACCGGTTTATTTCATCGTAACTGGCATCAACTATTCGGATCCATTGCAACAAAATCAAATATGTTCAGATTATTACTGTAGTAAAGATAGTTTGATCAGTCAAATATCCTATGCTAGTCAAATGCCAAATGTTACATACATAAAAAATACACAATTTTCATGGATTGACGACTATTTCGAATGGATCTCCTTGGATTTTTGCTGCTTACTCTATACAAATGATTCAATGTGCCCGAGTAATGCCAAAAACAATACCAAATGTGAATCATGCGCTGTTGACCTTCACTATTTCAGACCCGATATCAAGGAATTTGAAAAATATTTGCCCAATTTTCTGCAAGATAATCCTGGTGAGAAATGCATGTATGGCGGTCATGCAAAATTCTCACGTGCACTCAAAACAACTCAACTTAAGAATAATCGCATTCATTATGATGCTTCGCATTTTATGTCGTTTCACACTGTTTTAAAAACGTCTTCCGATTTCTATGGTGCATTACGTTCAGCGCGTACAATTTGCGACAATGTGACAAACACCATTCGAACTAATTTAAGGCAATCGAGTAATTTGAGTGAGAGTGAAATTGCGAATATAAAGGTATTTCCCTACTCGATGTTCTATGTGTTCTATGAGCAATACCTGACAATGTGGCCAGATACACTGAGAAGCATCGGTTATTCAATGTTCGCCATATTCATTGTGACCTTCATTCTGATGGGTTTCGATTTATATTCATCGATTATTGTGATCATTACGATCGCAATGATTAACATCAATTTACTCGGTTTTATGTACACTTGGAATGTGTCGCTGAATGCAATTTCACTCGTTAACCTAGTCATGGCTGTTGGCATATCGGTGGAATTCTGTTCACATCTCGTTCATTCGTTCAGCGTATCACTGAAAGTAATGCGCTTAGAACGTGCAATTGATTCGCTCACTCAAATGGGTAGCTCCATTTTCTCTGGGATTACACTCACGAAATTTGGGGGCATTCTCGTTTTGGCATTGGCCAATAGTCAAATATTCAAAGTGTTCTACTTTCGCATGTACTTGGGCATTGTGCTGATCGGTGCGGCACATGGATTGGTATTCCTTCCAGTTTTACTCAGTTTTGTTGGTGAGCACGTTTTTGAGATTCATTATTTATGCATAAATGTTTGAGAATTTCGAACAAACTACATATGCTTTGATTCGATTCCCTCAATGGATTTTTAATAATTCGATTTTTTTTTTCGTTCACAGGTGGCATGCGCAAGAGGGGACAATATTATAAAGTCAAACAGCATAGCGAAGAAACTAGACTTTGAAGGACAAAATTGATGAATTTCCTTCTTTTTTATCTTCTTCCACCGTTGTAAGCTGCCATATTTAATTTCTCAACAATTACACAGAAAATTTCTGTAATGTGACGTAGATTTCAATTTAAATTCAATAAATACGATTCTTCTTGTGAACAAAACTCAAACTCATTCAATGTTGAAAGTGTTGTCTCGTTATTTCGTACCTTTCAACGCATACCTTTCGATAGATGATTTATTTACACATATTGGCTGCAAAATATTTGCAGTGAAAATTCACCGTCAAACTAAATAGTGAAACTTTAGCAATTTGCCGAAATAGGATGTTAAACATGAGCGCTTTGTGTAAACAGAAAAAAAAAGATTAAAAAAAATCGAAATAGAAATGAAATGCCTCGGGGTGTGTGTGCTTGTGCACGTTCTGAACAATCATGGCGTATGTCATGTTGCGCACGTTTTTTGACAAAAATCAAACAAATTGGTGGAATACGGTGTGGAACTTTTACTGAAACCAATTAAATTCTCCATTTGGAAACTATCATGCATAGTATTAAAATGCATTCGGTGCATTTATGTGCGAGCGTTGCAAACGGTGTATTCTGCCAATCGTTCTGTGAATGAATTCCACATTTTGTATCATTGAATAATTTATAATTACACGAGATTTCTGCATAAAATATTGGTGCATTTGAAATGACTCGTTTTCGTTTTTTTTAAAGCCTTGAAATTCCCAACTCACATTACGTTCGTATAATAGCCAAATGAAAACTTTACTCAAACATTTGCATTTGTGCTTTGGAATTTTCAGTATTTACATTTTGCGCTTGGAAAAACTCATCCATTTCACATAACAAATAAATTCGTATTCGAACATTTTCCATTCAAGTTTGAAGCATTTTTGCCATTAGAAGCCGATTTTGTGATTTTATAAACAAAAACTGTGATAAATGGTTTCAATTGATTGATATTGCGGAAGATGCGTGAGTTACAGTTACAATGACACTAATGAAATAATCTAATTACATATTCATTTGACACATTCGCAAACAAATACATCCGATTTGTGCGGAGAATTTGATGCATTAGCCATGGCATTTCATTCGTTCATACAATTTCAGTATGCCGCTGAATGGAATCGCTTTTGAAAAGTCTCTCGGAATTTATTTGAACCATTTGCACATTTGTTACTGTCACATTTGCCAGTGGCACGCGCACAACGCAAAAGACCGGATGTAAAATGAATCAAAAGGAAAATATGCTTTCGATCATATTAAAATGGACTATAAATTATCTCGAGGGAATAAATTTAATTTATGTATATATAAGGAGTCGGCATTGTAGTGGGGATGTGTCGTCGTGTACGAGCCGACACAAAATGCCTTGGCTAGCAGACCGAGTTGCAACTGTGTGAAAAGTAAAATTAATTGCAACGATTTATTGAAAATTAGTTGATACGATGACTATCGCTTCAAATCGTATTCAGAATGTGGTTGATGACCCATTTGCATGCAAACTGAATATATGTATTTATGCAATGACACATGGCTAAGTTCAAACTCGATTCGAGCTAATAATAAATGCCATATCTAATCGTCAAACCGTTTCTCGTTCCGGAACGAATGTCAATCGATTTTGAATTTCTCGCTCTCTAAATACACAAACTACGGAGTTCGATCTCCATATCTCTTCGTCTCATTCCCATTCTCTAAATCAGTCTTTGTCAATGTCTCTGTTTCTGCCTTTCCCTTTCTCCCACTATCTGTCTATCTCCCTTCCATTCTCAATCCCTCTCGGCTAAACCTTCCACAAACATCAACAACCGATGCGAGCGTATGACAGAGTGAAGCAAGACATTAAGTCAAATGTACCGAATGTCACAAGGAAATGCCTGTGCATGCATGGCTTTTTCACAAATTGAAATCCGCTGACATCGCAGCATCGTAACTCGAACGCTTTGCATATATCTGCCAACGGGAGATAATTATTATTCTATATAAAATGTGATTATTTATTGCATCTGAATTACTGGCAGCGATTTTCAATTGCCGTACCAAGAATCAGAGAAATAGAGAGAGATGTCAAGCTCAACAACCCCGATCCATTACAAAGCGCACCTAATTGGCTTCGTTGTGCTTTAGGCACAAAAGTCCTCATGCTCTAGGTTTGCTGCTTGCATTTCACACGGGCATATCCATGCTGCTATCATGTTATACATGCAAGTCATAGACGATGTGTATCATAAGCGATATATTCATTATTGTTGAGTCGATACTCAATATCGATTGAAATGAATAATTCTTTCTTGTTGAATCAAGGGTGTCTTTTGGTTTTAATAACCAATGGCAATCCCCACTGCACTTACCGCAATATCACTAATTCAGATATTTGTTTTCCATGTGGATTGACCAAAACTAAACCAATCAAATTCATTCTCGGTCCAAGTGCATCCGAATAATTATTATTTATTTTGCATGGATGTTCGCACAACACCGGAAAATCGTTGATTTAGTGGGTTTGCTGAGTACCTGATTTAAATTTCCATTAATTAGTACATCTAATATCATCGATCTCCACCACTGTGGTCAACCGCAAACGATGCACTGTGGCGAATATCCTCTGGTCGATACATTGCAATAAATAAAATTAATTTAAATGAACTTTACAAAAACTAATGAACGAAAACCATGATTTCATATTTAACCGCATTTGTTTATTATTATCACAATTTGTATGATATTAGTTCGTCGCGTGTGTTCGGTTGCATTTGATTTTCGTGAACAAACTTCATATTATTCATCATTAAATTTATTTATTCGACATATCGCACTTGATTTTCCGCAACGGCACCACCATCAATGCCTGCATTTGATTGCACACTCGTTGTCCAAAATAATGCCAAATTAGATTTCCATAAATTTTTCATCATTTTGGCTGGCGTTTGATTGGAAAAATATTGCAGTATTTTTAATTAAAATGTGTAATTTGAATTAGAAATTTTACGCGGCCGCATCCAATCGCATTTGTTGTAGTTCGGACATTTACGAGAGGTGAAATGAAATGAATTTATTTTCAGGAAAATATTTTCGTGATATTTCTAAGAATTTGTTAAATTTGTACGGCCAATACACAAAAGGTATATGTTTGATACCATAGCTTACATTTAATTCCATTCGTGCAACTATTCATTGGATTTCATATGAATATTGTTAAACTTCACTCGAAATTCGTTAAATTTTTCTCCAAATCCTACAATTTACATGGAATCCGATGCAACATTCATAATTTAATTGCAGCTGTATTACTATTTTGCACAATTTTAATGACCCAAATAAAATTTGTTTTATTTATCAAAATGCAAAAACCACAACACCAATGCATATATCCATCCATCTCATGTTGGGTTTGAAAAAGCAGAAAAAAAACGAGAAGTTTGCGAAAAGAAAATGTTGATCACAAAACCGGACCGGCAACTTTCGTGGCAAGCGAAAGATTTTGCCGGGATTGCATATAAATCAATTGTTTTAACTTTCGTTTATTTTGATTTATAGCTGGATAAAATGGACTGGACCTAGTGAGTAAAAATCTATGTGCTTGCCCATTGAAAGTTTCGAGGATGGAGCGCATTGGTTTGCTTGCGCACTCACTGTTTGTATGTATACATGTGTGTGTGTGTGTGTGTGTGTGTGTTGCCAACGAACAAAACTATTTCGCCCGAAACTGAAATATATGTGTAATACAATACAGATATTTCCGAATCAGTTTTTATTCGCCCATCGTTGTCGGTCCATTATGCAAGCATTGAAATATTTATGTGCGTGCTGAAACAGATCTAAACGGAAGAGGCTAGCCAAAAAAAAGAGAAGGAGCGACGTAGAGGAAAAAGAAGAAGCCAGAATCGGTGCTTGTTTTTCAAATATGAAGTTTTGAACTCACATTGTTAACATGGTCGCATTATGCAGTCGCTTTTACCAGCAAAACCATAAATGAGATGACGAAAAACGAACAGAGGAACTAAGCAGCGGCAGCAGCAGCAGTAAAAAAACTGCCAACATCAAAAGCGGAAAGGATGCTCCGGTACAATATTTTTTCGCTGTCTCTCTCTCGCTCTTTTTTCTCTCTTCATTGTTATTTGTGCGCATCATTTTCATATGTAATGGCTTTTCTAACGATTGATGACGTGGCATAGAAAACCACAGCACCATGAATATGTAATCGAATGGGTGTGCAAGTGTGTGTTTGTGAAAATGAAAATGGCACGAACGAAGCGATTCTTGCCAGCGTTTTGGCCGTTTGCTGCTCACTTTTTGTTTTTAGCTGCCATACTCAATTTTTGTGAACACTAAACATGACAAAATCGCACCGAATTCACCGACAACACCAGAGAGAGAGAGAGCGAGAGAGAGAATTATGGTAAAGAAAGTTGCCAAAAGTTGCCCGTTTCCGAACCAAAGGATTCTTCAAGCAGAAGAAAAAAAACGAAACCCGATTTTCCGTTTTGTGACAACGAAAATGATTTTCAATGTGAACAAGAAACAATTCCAAGTGAAATGTTGATAACTTAATAGATTATTTGTGTGATTACGACGTGTATGTACGTTCGCAACGGCATGCTGAGTGCTTGAACCACGAATTTCGGTGACACCGGAGCCTGCAACTGTGAGCACAAGCCGCATCATAATATGTGATGACACTGTGGCCGAAGCCGAAGAATAGGCAAAACCATTTTGAAACGACGGTGATGATGGCCCCATTGCTCACGCTCACTCTCCCGATGTCCGTACGAATTTGTCACGCAGGGGGCAGGGGCAAACAAACCAACGTATTATCAAAGACGGCATCCATTTGAATTATAGCTTGAAAAAAAAAATCCTCGTCGCTTTTGAGATTGCTTACCGCCGCACATTTTTTCCTTTTATTTTCACTCTTCCCCGATTTTCTCCGCTTTGGTTTGACGAGCCACGAAAAAAAAAGTAACGACAAAAAGAAAACTACGGTATCGCGATATCATTTTTGTGCGATTTAATCGGTGTGTTGTGTTCGTTCATCGTTCATTTGTGATGTTTTTTCTCAATGGGCAAAATGAGATGCGACTACCGTCCTACAGTCTTATCATCTCAGACAATTTGTTGTTATCGCTCATTTCAAAGGGCGCTGGATGCGTGCACGTTTATTCTTT